TCGTCGTCGTCGTCGTAGTAGGAGGAGTAGTAGTAGTAGTAGTAATCATCATAGTAGTCAGAAAGATGCGGCAAGTAGACCGGAAGTACCACGAAAACAGCGAGCTAAGCTGGAGCTAAACCTAACACGGTGCATCAGTACATTGTCGATGATCTACGGTGACAGATCATCCGATAGCAGCACGTGAGAAAATGCATGGTGACAGTATGGCAGGACGCAGAAGGCAGGCAAGCTCTGCACACCATGGCATGGCTCTTGATGTACTGGTGAGTATGAATTGCAGTTTGGAGCTTAGGGCTTGGGTGGATGGAAAAGCCATCCGAATTCCCTAAAACATGGGGTTTTTGAAGTGTAACGGAGCGGACTTTACGACCAATCCAGCCTCTAAGAGCCTACACTGTGGGTGAAACAAACCAGATTCGCCAGGATCTTCGGAGAGCACCTCCTCAAATTCCCGTGGCAAGAACACCCTCGCCTTGGGGTTTAGGGTTCAGGGTTTAGGGTGTGGGGTTGAGGGTTGCCAAGTCTACCAAAGCTCGTCAACCCGACGCCATCCGGGAATGTAGGGCTTCGGCCTCAACCCACGTTTCATAAGTCTCTGGAGCAGCCCCCTAAGCAAGGCCTGAGCAGTTAATAATGGTCTTAGTGGTTACATCTCCCTGGCATCATTTCACAATAATATACCGCCCAAACACTATTCTCCTGAGTACGATCCCTGGATTAAATCATTATCGAACCCTTATAGACATTACAGATCCCGGATCGATCCCCCGAATGAGCGCTCATAAGAATCCCAGTCTAGTCACCAGAGCCCCTTCATTATAGATCACAACATCATACAAAATCTATAAAACACCAGTCCAAGTGCTGAGGCTAATGTAGGGGCCTTGAATGGGGTGTTGGGATCCTTTATAGTATAAATATATAAATAATAGTAATAAAAATAATAACAATAATAAAAGGAACCTAAGGAATAGTATCGAATGATGTAGGTAAGTATTTAGGCTTCTATATTATGCTAGAAGCAGTCTGGAGCCTCGGACCATCGGATGCACGAAGAGGAGGTCAGATGCCTCCTGACAGGGCGCTGATTCAAAGGACCCGGTCCAGTGGAGAGTATGGGCTTTCCGGGGATTGGGGTTTAATGCATAGGGAGTTTAAGCTATGCAGAGTTGTCAATGACTCCTTTGTTGTTCCTACGGGAGTTTACAGGGCTTAGGGAAAGTTTGGTGTTTGGCTACTTGGCCGCGTCTGAGATCTTAGAGCTAGTTCGGGGTTTAGGGTTTAGAGCTGATAGAAATCCTGCATTACCTTAAGGACCCTGAACTACAGGAATTATGGTATATTCCTTACTATGGGTAATGCAGGATATATATCATCAACCGTACCCCTGTTGGGGGTTCCGGCTTTGGGTTGCCGGGCTGGCTGCATTTTCAGACTGAGGTCTGCGGCCTTTGAAGCAAACCCCCAAAGCCTAGACCCCAAAACCCAAACCCCAAGCTAAGCCTCTAAACCTGCTAAGCACCAACCTTCATTCGGGTGTACCCAACGCCCTGAAATGCCAGTAGATGCTGAATAACGAGCCCCGGACCCTCAACGTTCTCAACCCCCCCTCGACCAGAACAGGCTCTAAGCAAGGACGAACGAAGCTCCGGCATAGTTGGCCATGCAAAAGGGCGGTCGATCGTCGGACCACGTGGCACCTCACTCGTGTGCTACATTGCTACATGCACTGCATAAACTGCATCATTCACAGTTGAGGGTTAGAGTAGAACTCAAATTTTGGTCAGGGTTTAGGAGCCGCAAGCCTTATACCACTTCGAGATCATGCATTCAATTCCCCGGTAAGCTCCGTGCACGCAGGGTCTCCCGCGCCGTCATGGTGCCCTGGCACACGAAGTGTCTATTGTGATCCTATGCTCTTCACGAGTATTCTGACCTTGGCGACGAATAGGTTTCATGAAGGTTCAAGCCCGAAACCGAAGACCGGACCGCACAGAACCTGCGAGAAGCTTTGCTGCTGGGGTCGCAAGTCTGAAAGTGCAGTTCTAGACGCAGGAATTGCGGACCAGTAAAACTGCTTGAGGCATCATGAGATTAGGGTTGCTTCAGGGATTCGTATGGTTGGTTTAAGGGGTCTAGAGTCTGGAGTTCAAGGTCCCAGACTTCCGGGCACGAAGCAGTACGGAACAGGGATGTACTTCGCGGTCAAGCTTACATCTCCCGGGCATTTATAACACTTCTCTGTCCTACTTATGAGGTCCGCCCATATCCTGAGGAGTGCAGGGCGAAAGCGCCGCAAGCACCCGGGCTGCCCAGGCAGTTAAGCCCCCGACGACGAGTTTCTACGATGCCCGCCACCTATGACAGCATGATGAAGAAGACGATTCTACATCCATGCAGAGTCTTTCATCAGCTGGGGCAACACTTCGCTTTGTCTCCATGCGCTTTCATCGCTTCTCATCCGCGCTTCGGCCGGCGCGACCACGCAAGGCGCGGCCCAGGGGACCCGATCCGCTGAGAGCCTGAGAGACACGAAAGCTAAGTGGCAACTGAAGGGGTGTAGGGTTTTTTCAGGCTTGTAGGGTTGAGGGGTTTGGGGTTTAGGACTTATGATTCAGAGTTTAGGACAGGGATCAGCAAGCGCGAAGCATGAACCGGCCAAGCCTTCGTCAGCATCACCGCCAAGAAGATCCAGTAGCGCACGGCCTAATCATGCAGGGGGATAACGTAATCATAGATCTAAAGCAGCCGGCAGCGGCTCGTCAGAAAACCCCCAGCCCTAAACCTGTAGAAAGGAGGCCTAAAGCCTAAACCTAACCCCACATCTCTTCGAGAGAGCAGCCAAGGATAGGAAGACCACTTCCAGCCCCCAGTGGAAGAAGTTCACGCCGCAGAGGATGAGGACCTTGAGGCTTTAGGCCGTTAGGCTTTGGAGTTTTGATTTCGCGTAATGTAGGAGCCTTAATAATTAGAACAGGGTTTCGGGATTTTATTTATAAGTCTATAATCATAACAAGGAACCCCAAAATAGTGTTTGTAATTGTTTAGGCCCCTCTATTATGTGCCTTGAAGTCTGCGTGTGTCCCCGATCCATTACCCAACAATTTCGGAATTCAAAACCACCAGACATGTATGAATCTATGACCTTGGACCTAGCGCGGTTCCCCGTAGGCCCCACAGCTCTAACCCCCCAAAAACCGCAAAGGCATCATGGAGCATTCCGACTCAAGGGTTCTCTTGTAGAATAGTCAGACGATCTTCACTTCAAGTTCAGGGCAGGGGTTTAGGATTCTTTTAAGTGCAATGGCTCTTTCTCCGGTTTAGGATTTAGGGTTTAGGGTGAGGGTTTGGGGTTAGGGTTTAGCTCTCAAGGTTTCACGGTGCAGGGGCCGGTTCCAGAAAACGTCTTCTCCTGCCGAAGCCCGCCGAAGGAAAGATCTGACATTTATTTCATCGGTTTAGGGTTTAGGGATTAGGGCATCGTGCTACAGTATTCTCGTGGCAGTATACAACGTTACATCAGTGAACAAGGTAACCAGCAGCTCCGAAACCTTTTACCATGCAGTGCAACTTTCACTCGAACCATTGAGATCGCATCAGACCTCTCTCAACACCTAATAAGATCCAATGTCACCCAGTACAACCCTTTGTCGAACCCTCATAGAACCCTTTTCAACGGAATGAAACCCAAACAGGGTAATCGATCCCTTAATAAAACCAATATCAACCCTGGGCACATAGATCGAGACTCCTGGAAACAGGATTGTAGCCGGTTTAGGGTGTGCAAGCAGAGCTGTGGGTTCAAAGAGCGCTTTCGTTCATAGAGGTTTGTGGGTTAGGGTTTAGGGCTTGCGAGAGAGGGGGGGGAGGGCTTGGGGCCAGCGCGTAGGACCACGGTTCAAGTTTTCGGTAATCATACAAAGACCGTGCGCTAAAGGAATACTTGCACGACCTTGCTGAGGATCCTACATTCCCCTAGCTTCGCCAAGGTGCTTGGAGGGACGTCGTCAGAAGCGTCGTCTTGATGACGAGCGGAAACCTGAACGGATGTCGCAATTAGCAACAGCAGCAACAGCCATAACGAGAAGGTCCTAAACCCCTAGGTTTGGGGTTCAGGGTTCAGGGCTTATGACACGACCCTGCACCCTTGTGGTTAATCTCCATAAACAAATGCAGGACCTAAGGCTGCCCGGCCTTGTACACACATCACCTCATCGCTACCTTCCAGCCCCCCT